CATTTATGTAGATGAGATTTCACACCCCTCTTCTGTTCCCCTTTAAAATCCTCTTATGTCTTCCTAGATAAATCTCCTCCGAATTCAGCAGCTCAGCATGGTTCCTTCCCACCACATGGGACAACAACTAGTAAACAAATCTCCAATATTACCATCGATAATATTCATCAATGCTAACTTCTAAGAATATTGAGCAAGAGGTTGCTAAGAAGATTTCCAAGCAATGTGTTATATTAAGAGAGATAACAATAGCAAACAGAAAATAAAAAGCACATCTGCTAGTCAGTCTAGGATAATAAAAAGTATTTTCTATTATATATAAAACTGGTCAATTTTTAAATTTTTAGTTTTTTTAGGCAATCACTTGGATAATGGAAAACAGTGGCTTTTTTACATGCATGTATGGGACGTATAAATGTTCTCAATGAAAGAATGAATGAATAAATTAATGAATCAGTCAATCAATCAATCAATCAATCAATCAATCAATCAAATAAATAAATAAATAAATAACAGGGACATTCTCAGAACTATGAATAAAGTTCTGGCAATAATAAAGCTATGAAAAAATCCAGTGACATTAATAGATTTGGTCTTTGACAATGTTCTCAAAATTCTCAAAAAACCCTTATTGAAACATTGTTCATGGAACGTTTTTCTTTTAAAACATTTTAGATTTTGAAAGTTATAACTTGTTTCAGAAAAAAATAAAATAAAATCCCATGGTGTTTGTAGAATGATGAAATGGAATGTTCCCCTAACATTTGTATAACCAAGAAAAAATATTAATTTTTATTACATTTAAAAAACTGGACATTTTGAACCTTCAGAGAAATAATGTGAACATTAGCAAAAAATTATTATAACATGTTTTTGTGCACTGGGAACACCCATGAAATGGGTCATATTATTTCTTTCAGTCGTTAAAGTTCATTTTCTTGTATGATATTGACCAGTTTTGCAGGTAATTCCATTGTGGTCACAGCGATTGATCATGTTAGATGACAAATGACAGTTTCATTTCTCTCAAACAGGATGATGGCCGCTACTTTGCTAATTTCCTCTGAGCTGTTATGGTGCTCGGTTGTAAGCAAGTATTCCCTGTGGATGCAGAAATGGATGTATTGTGCTGCCATTGATTATGTAGCTGCTGTGTGATAAATATGTCACAGCGTCTGAGCGTGTTATCGAGTGCGGTGGCATGTGTGAGACTGTTGCGAGCGATCAGGTAGGCACAGGGCATTGTTCACTAGACAGCTGCCCAGCGGAGAGCAGCAGCGCTGAGCCACTAGCAGCCACTGCAGGTCTGGGATAGCATTGTAAACACACAGCACTTTTGACCAGGATGCTTTGATGTAATGGAAAACATAAATTATGAGAATGTGTAACAATTGCTCTTTTTAATTAAATAATCTTAACTATTTACTGTAGAGTGTTTAGGTTATTAAGTCTGTACATGCAATTAATGCAATGCTATATATGCTATACATATATATATATATACAGTTCAAGTCCAATCAGTATAATCCAACACAGCTGGACTCAAATGAAGGTGTATAACCATCTCAAGGATGATCAGAAGAAATGGACAGCACCTGAGTTAAATATATGAGTGTCACAGCCAAGGGTGTGAATACTTAGGACCATGTGATATTTCTGTTTTTCTTTTTTAATAAATCTGCAAAGATGTCAACAATTCTGTGTTTTTCTGTCAATATGGGGTGCTGTGTGTACATTAATGAGGGAAAAAAATTTACTTAAATGATTTTAGCAAATGGCTGCAATATAACAAAGAGTGAAAAATTTAAGGGGGTCTGAATACTTTCCGTACCCACTGTATATACGTATATATATAGCAACTGAAAACATATTTTACACAAATTTTAAATGAAGTAAATATTTTTTGTTTTTCTAGTCTTAAATTGTATATACAATATATAAATAATCCAATAGGTGGATTATTTTTAATGTGGAGGCAAAGAGCCACTCCACTTATATTATAGTAACTTGCCAGCATGGACAAGTTAAGGCAGTTATTGATGTTTGCAGCACACAATTTAAATTGAACTGATAACAATAATAGTTGCTTTTTGTTATTTTGTTGTATTATATATCCAGACAATCAGAATTGAGTATTTAGACAGACAATGTATAAATTATTCTAAGTAACATTTGAGAACTGTCTTAAATTTTAGTAATTTGTATAATGTAATCTCATCATATTATATTATAAATAATGATAACATAAATATCGATTTCATAATTTTTTTTTTATCACTTTCACATAAAAAAAAAGTTTTCATATTTTATATGTTGCTGTAATTTTATGCAATTTATTAATCAGTTCAAATACTTGTCGGCCAAAGCAATGTTTTTTATATATTTTTTTCCTTTTACATTTTTGCTATTTCAGAATTGTTTTACTGTTTAAATGCTTCTGTATACTCTAAAATAGGCTATTTAAAGACATGTTCCCTTTGTATTGTGCGAATGTAATGGCCTTTTATAAATCCTTAAAAGCATGTGCCTATACTGATATTGACAAATAAACATAAACCTAACTGAGAAATATCCACTGGAGTATAATGTGACAACTCACCCAATCAAGTAAAAAAGAGATGGAGGATATGAACCGTCAATATGTAAATTACATGTAATCGGAGACTATTTATAGATATAATGACTACAGAAAAATCCAGATTTAGGAAAACATTTGTCAGGTGCTTGAGAGATCTCTTTGAGAAACTGACATTTCCCCAAAGGAAATTGATTCATTATGTCATACAAGCCCCAGTTTATCACTGTCAGAGCACGCCCTATGAGTTACGAGATGGATGATGGATATTTTAACATGTATGAATGCATTTCCTGGGGGAAAGTTTGTTGTTACCTACCCAGACTCTTTCTGTTATAATATCAGTTGATGACCTTTAGTGACCTTACATTTGTTTTCATACAGGACATCAATATTACTTAAAAAAAAATAAAAATACCTGATTCTACATTACAGCTCAGTACTAAAACAGTGATGATTTTAAGCATATATAGGTAATGAGCCTTTTTTTTGTGTGAATTTTAAATTTATTAAATTGTTAGTTTTTCTATACATGACATACAGTGAAATCTGCTAAAAGCTACATGCCATAAAATATTGATGGATGGACACTTTTTTTTCAGTAATTGTTTAATCATTGCATTATTTTGGAAAACTATATTGATAATAATGGACAGGTTATGCTCATTACATCATACATTGTCTCATCGGGCACTTTTTTTGAAGTGATGTAACCATGACTAGTACACTCTAAAAAATGCTGGGTTAAAAAGGGACAAACCCAGCTATTGGGTTGTTTTGACCCAGCAATTGGGTTGTTTTGACCCAGTGATTGGGTTGTTTTGACCCAGCGGTTGGGTTGTTTTGA